CATATTAGACACATTATGGGGAACTTGACTTGGCATGGACTTTATGGCGTATGTCTGGGCAAAATAACTATAAAAAAATCCTGTATATCTCTGCAATACATGTATTTTTCCCAATGTTTTATCTCTTTAAAAACAGTCCAAGTACAGAAAAATACTAGATGATCTGCCAGAAATCCATTGAACTGAGTTCCCCCTCAAACTAGAGAACACGTATCCCCTATATTATTGAGATGCAGAGAGGGAGGCATTTCTGTAATTCACATCAGGCAGCCTAACCTGCTCCTACATAGATATAGTACAGTGAGTGTGATTTGTCACCCTAAGACAGAATCACCTTGCTGTATATTAGTAAGCAAACCTGTTTATTGCAATAAAGTTAATATACGGCTCATTTGTTTAGTTAACCCTATCCATTCTAGTCTGGGATTTTATAGCTAGTTTTAGCCTAGGGCTCAATAACCAACATAGACTAGAGCCAGGTTAGGCATCTGACAGCCACTTCTGGTAGTTAAAGGTACAGTTGCATGTTTATATTAGAATCTATTAGGGGCTAAAGCACACAGTAGATAGGCAATTCTGAGTTCCCGTGCCACTCTATTGTTTCTACATGTGAGAAGCAGCATTCCTGGTTGGCTGGACAACGGCTGGAGGGTCTCCCCATCACCGCAGAGTTCATCTTCAGGTCTCCCACACCAAGACCAATGCCACATTGGGATCATCCTCAGGAGCCCCTGCAACACTCATCTGAAGGTAGCTCTATTAACCATTTGCTGCCCGGCCTATAGCAGTTTGGCAGCCGCAAAAATGCATTACCTTTCGGGGTATACGCCATTTGGCGTCCTCCCGCACATGTGCAGTTTGCGCGGTTGCAGAGCTGTGCAGCGGCGCGATCTGTCACTGGCCGTATACCTCAGACACGGCCAATGACAGATCTGAGTACCGGCCCCTGTTGCCAGTACCATGTGACCTGCTGTGACCAATCACAGCAGGACACATGACAGTTGTATACAATAGATGGCTTCATTCATGCCATCCATTGTATACTAGCTTCTAGCTGTGAATGGTCACAGCTAATCACATGCACATGTCATGCCAAATCACAGCTAAGCACAAAAAAAAAACAAAAAAAAAAAAAAAACCACACAACCTGAATGAATCGAATTCATTCAGGTAAATGCTTGCTTATAGCAAAGTAATTCTTTGCTATAAGCAAATTGTGTAAAAAATAAATAAATAAATAATACTGAACACTTCCCCAAAGTAGTACAATGTTACTATGGTAACATTGTACTACTTTGGTCATAGTAAAATATGAAAAAAAAAATCTTCAAAAAAAAAATTTAAAAAATTTAATAAATAAAGAAATTATAAAAAAAAAAAAAATTATATATATTTTTTTCATACTGTCACCAGTCAGTGTCCCTGTTCACTGCCATGACAGTTATATGATGATGCTGTGCTGCACTGGTGACAGTATGTAAAAAAAATAAAAAAAAAAAAAAAAAAAAAAAAAAAAAGTGAAAATAGTTTTTTTTTCATTTTCCAAAAAATGACAAAAAAAAAAATACAACTTCAAAAAACTCGCCATTCCTCTTATGAAGTACGTCGGACTGTCTACTTTACAAAAAGGGGTCATTTGGGGGATATCTGTACTGTTTTGACATTCTTGGACCTCAAGAAATTAGATCTAAACCATAGTTTGTGAACTCTATAACTTTCCTACAAACTAAATAATACATCCTAATTTGGGTTATTTTCACCAAAGACATGTAGCAGAATACATCTCGGCCTAAATTTATGAAGAACATTTATTTGTAAACTTTTGTAACAGAAAAAGAAAAACGTGTTTTTTTTTTTTCAAAAGTTTGTCTTTTTTTGTTAATTTAGCAAAAAATAAAAACCCCTGCAGTGATTAAATACCACCAAAAGAAAGCTCTAGTTGTGTGAAGAAAATGATAAATTTTTAGTTTGGGTACAATGTTGTATGACCGCGCAATTGTCATTCAACGTGTGAGAGCGCTGAAACCTGAAAAATGGCCTGGGCAGGAAGGTGTAAAATTGCCCGGTATTGAATTGGATAATTACTATATACACTGGGTATATGGCAACAAATCCACCACGACTCCTCAGGCCCTTTGCTGATAATACCTGTTTGTACATTGTATGTACAGCATGTACTGGTAATAATCTTTTCTTATATAGAGCTGGTATTATTTCCATATTGGTTTCCTTCATTGTATTTTCTATTGTGAAAAAAATTGGGTTTATGAGAGTTGCAGATCATTGCATTCTGTTTTTATGTAGATTTTACACAGCATCCCATCATTTTTGGAATTGAGGTTGAAGATACAGCTGCTGGTTAATGTTGTCTCTGATGTTGGTAGACATTAAAATAAGTAAGATTAACTAGATGATGGCGTCCTTGACAGGAGAGTGGCATGCTTTTAAAAAAAAAAAAAAAAAAAAAAAGGGAAGAAAAACAGCCCTTCATTAATTTAGCATTTAAAAAGGAAAAGGACATTTCTGAAAGTATTTCTCAATAGTTCTAAGATGAATTAATACATTATTCATAATACATTACAAAATGTGAGTTTTGTTTAAAGAAAAAGCATGTAAATTCCTGAATTTGACCTGGCATGAACCTCTTGTAGTCTCTGTACAGCAGGGCTGGAGTTTGAGAGAGGAAGAAGCTGCACAAAGAGTAAACAGCCAAACAGTTCATTTACTGAAAAGAAGCATACTGATAGGAAGAGAAACTGGAGTGACAGAGAGATGAGCCAATTACTGGGCTGCTTCTCCTTTCTCTGTCCAGTCACAGTCTTAGGTTAGTCCAGGACAACTTGGGTTTCAGAGGAAGTTGAATGATGTTGGTCATCAGACTGAGGATATCTAGTGGCAGAAGTACAGTTGAGGAAATCTGGCATCAAGCTGAACTGCAGTATTGGACAGTTTTGTTATTTTATCTTTTTATGGGTTACCTACCTGTATTTTTATCTTGTTTTTGCTTATAGCAGAATTCTGGTCAGAAATAACACCTCACAGTTCCAAAAATGTTTTTAATGAAGTATAAAAATAGACAACGTAGAAAACAATAACAGGTACAAACATAAGACTTCAAATATATAAAGTTAAACTGGCCCATTAAAACATATAAAGTTACACTGGCACAATTAAAAGAAGAAACTGCCTTCTCTTAATAAAACAACATGTTTCAATCTGTCCCTCTATCCATTCTGCCTGCAGCTTTTAATTAGTTTTTTAATCAAGATAAGACCACATCACCTCTAATGTGCTTTGAAGTATTTAACATGGAACTAATCTCATAAAATAAAAAGTTGCTAGGAAGTAAAGTTTTTGGATAGTGGTTTCTGCCAAAAACCATATTTCTTTCTCCCAGCAGCTTTTTTAAAATTTTTTTTTTGCAGTGTACACTCCCAGCATCCCTAAAATACCAAGAATGGAGCCAGGTGCTGGGGACAATGTAATGCCCATATGCAGGAGTTACTTTATCAGTGGTTGCCCAAACGCCAAAGAGAAGTTAACTGGGACCCTGACGAAGCATTCGTGAAGGATGGAGCAGCAACTGTAAGGTTAAACTTGCCATTGCTGGGGGAGGGGCATTTTAGTAGGCAAGTGTGCCAAAATGTACAAAGTGCAAAAAAAAAAACATAAAGGGAGGAGTCTGCCAACAAGGCTTTAGACAACATTAAATCCAAAACACTAGTTCAAAATGTTTATATCTCTATTGTCCAAAACTAAAACAAAGTAAATCATTTTGGTTGGAGTTCTTTCTAAAACCCTCTGCAGCCTAAGCCCTGAGTGCTGAAAAAAGTTAAAGCATCATAAAGCTAACCACACATACGACAATGTGAATATAAACGTCTTTTAAGCCTAAGCAAACGTTACAATGTGAACATATACTTTCTTTCATCTGCCATGTATTCTTTAGGTATTACCATGTTATTACATAGCAATGGTAAATGTAAAGGAGAATATACACAGGTTGTACAACCAGAATGTAATATACTGTATACAGCAAATCCAGCATAATGCTGTTTGGTTGAAGCTGTCTGCAAGAGTAATAATCATTTTTTTCCCCTTTGCTGTTTTTAGAAAGTTTTTCCCAAAAATTTGCCAGGTCCTTTCAGTTAAGTATGGAGTGTAATGGAGTAATATTCTTTGGGTTCATTTTCATAGTTTTTTTTTTTTCTTTTAATGGGAAGGATTTAAAGATAATACAAAGGGGTGATCAAAGTCCATAGCCTCACACATTTTTTTTCAACATATCTCCTTAAAGCAGTGTTTCTCAACTCCAGTCCTCATGGACCCCCAACAGGTCATGTTTTCAAGATTTCCATTATTTTGCACAGGTGATTTGATCAGTTTCACTGCCTTAGTAATTACCACAGCCGTTTCATCTGAGGGAAATCCTGAAAACATGACCTGTTGGGAGTCCATGAGGACTGGAGTTGAGAAACACTGCCTTAAAGGTTTGTGTAAACCCTACAGTTCCTTGCACACAGGACAGTCCAGCTGCTGTGCATCCCTCCCAGCCTAATAGTGCACCCAGGAGGGACAGGTGCAGAGTCCAACCCTGCAGCATGCAGCCTGCCAAAGTCTATGGGAAGGCTGCAGCTGGACAAGTCTGGTACTCATGTTTAGGGTCCTAGGCATTCAGAGTCAAATGCCTGGAATGCTGGACTTTCTTTAAATATACCATTAAAAGAGTTTTGTTAGATCGGTTCCAAAAAAACCCTGTTAATCCTGCCAGAAATCTTGTGAGCCGATTATGTGTGGTGCTTTTTGCCTGTGCTGTGTACTTTGTTCCCAGCTATCTCTGGACTACAGAATACCTCCCCCTATGTTATGGAGATGGGGGGAGTGCTACCATTACTTTGTGTTCTAGGGTGACAACATTACTTTTCCACAGATAGTAGACTTTTGAAATTTGTTGGACACACATTACAGAAGAATACACTAACATTTGAACATCACCCTAATCAAATTACACTGGTTTCATGTTTGGGTACAGACTTTTGGACCTCCTGTTTTAAAGCTGTCTCCTGGCTTCTTTCCTTCCTGTGTTGTAATTTCTTTTGTAGATCTTTAGCTATTTTCTTTTCGGTATCCTCTAAAAGTGAAATCAGCAGGTTAATCAGCAGAGAAAGCCATGCAAGACCAAATATGATCCAGAAATACACCAAGGCACGGAACCCTTCAAATGGATGAGTGCACCTTTGTCCTACAAATAAGAAAAAAGATTTAAGTTGGAGAATTAAAGCCCAACTCCAGGCTCAGCCCAGTCCTTTAAGTGCTGCCCCTCCCCTCTGCAGTGGCCATGCTGTGAATTTCTTTTTTTTTTACCCTTTTTCTGACATCTTAAAGATGGTCACATAATAAATACTTTCCTCTTTGGATTGCCTCCTAAAAGGTAGGAGATTCTCGATGCAGAGAGCACTGATGTGATGATGTGAGCACTGCTCTCGGTATCATTAAACTATGAGTACAGGATTGGTGATGTAGTCCCCTCAGGGGTGGGGATCCATTACACCCTGCACACATATTCAACCTAGAAGATGGAGAACATCTTGTGGCAGAATGGTCTTACTGCATTGGAGGTGAGGCGGCCGACAGTCAAAGCTGCTATTTTGTTTTTGGGGGGGGGGGGGGGGGGGGGGGGGGGGGGGACAGAAAGGATATGTGCATTTTCTGTGAAACGCTGGAAGTGTCCATTCCACGAACAGCACTATGACAACACACACACACACTAAAATAAAATATACATACATACACACACATACTGTACACACACACACATACTACTGTGCAAAAAAGTCATAGGTTTGAAAACATTGCTGTGTGAATACATTAGGAAAGCTTTTAGAAATAACAGTGTTCCTAGTTTTATTTTTATCAATTAGCAAAATGGGAATTAAATGAACAGAAGAGAAATCCAAATCACTATTTGGTGTGACCAACCTTTGCCTTCAAAAAAGCATAAATGCTTCAAATCTTCTAGGACGTGAGGTGAGAACAGGTGTGTGTGTGGGATAACAGGGAAAAGCAAAGTCAAAGAATTGAGAGAATGACCAGTATTGGAATGGGAATGAGGAGCACTGAGAAAAAAAAAAAGAAAAAAAGGAAGAAGAATGGGAATAATAATAATAAACATGAAAAGTCAACAAAAGTAAAAAAGATGAGAAGCAATAGAAAAAAAAAATAATAAAAAGATGTTACATGCACTGCTCAAAAAAATTAACACTTTGAAAACACATCAGATTTCAATGGGGAAAAATATGCTGGATATCTATACTGATATGGACTGGGTGATGTGTTAAGAATGTAAGGATGCCCCATCATTTGACTTAAATGAAAATTATCAACCTACAAAAAGGACTGAATTTAAAGACACCCCGAAAATCAAAGTGAAAAAATTATGCAGCAGGCTAGTCCATTTTGCAACTTTCATTGTAGCAACTCAAAATGGTACTTATTTGTTTGTATGGCCCCCACGTGCTTGTATGCATGCCTGACAATGTCGAGGCATGCTCCTAATGAGACAACAGATGGTGTCCTGGGGTATTTCCTCCCAGATCTGGATCAGGGCATCACTGAGGTCCTGGACAGTCTGAGGTGCAACCTGACAGCGTCGGATTGACCCGAAACATGATATTCCAGAGGTGTTCTATTGGACTTAGGTCAGGCGAGCGTGGGGGCCATTCAATGGCATCACTTTCTTCCTCCCCCAGGAACTGCCTGCATACTCTTTCCACATGAGGACGGGCATTGTTGTGCACCAGGAGGAACCCAGGACCCACTACACCAGTGTAGGGTCTGACAATAGATCCAAGGATTTCATCCCGATACCTAATGGCAATCAGGGTGCCATTTTCTAGGCTTTAGAGGTCTGTGTGCCCCTGCATGGATATGCCTCCCCAGACCATCACTGACCCACCACCAAAACAGTCATGCTGAACAATGTTACAGGCAGCATAATGTTCTCCAAACCCTTTCAGGTCTGTTACATGTGCTCAGGGTGAACCTGCTCTCATCTGTGAAAAGCACAGGGCGCCAGTGGCGGACCTGCCAATTCTGGTGTTCAATGGCAAATGCTAGTCCAGCTCTATGGTGCTGGGAAGTGAGCACAGGGCCCACTACTACTACTGTCAGGTCATCAGGCCACCCTCATGAAGTCTGTTTCTGATTGTTTGGTCAGAGACATTAGCACCAGTGGTCTGCTGGAGGTCATTTTGTAGGGCTCTGGCAGTGCTTATCCTGTTCCTTCTTGCACAAAGGAGCAGATACTGGTACTGCTGATGGGTTAAGGACCTTCTACAGCCCTGTCCAGCTCTCCTAGAGTAACTGCCCGTCTCCTGGAATCTCTTCCATGCTCTTGAGACTGTGCTGGGAGACACAGCAAACCTTCTGGCAATGGCACGTATTGATGTGCCATCCTCGAGGAGTTGGACTGCCTGTGCAACCTCTGTAGGGTCCAGGTATCGCCTCATGCTACCAGTAGTGACCCTGACCCTAGCCAAATGTAAAACTAGTGAAAAACAGTCAGAAAAGATGAGTAGGTAAGAAAATGTCAGTGGCCTCCACCTGTAAAGCGATTCCTGTTTTGGGGGTCATCTCATAGTTGCCCATCTAGTGCACCTGTTAATTTCATTAACAGCAAAGCAGCTTAAACAGATTAAGAACCCCCTCTGCTACTTAACTGAGCAGCACTAAACTACTTAACCAGGAGTTTAATTGACTTGATGTTAAAAAGTGTTCTTTACTTGTTTTATACACTGCTAAAAAAAATTAAAGAAATTAGATAAGGTGACAAAAAAGACAGGTAAAGAAATAGGAAAATAAAAAATAAAATGAAAAAATACAAAAAAAAAGGAGAAAAAAATAAAAACAAAAAACTGGAAAAAAGAAGAAGAGTATAGCATGAAGATTATATAAAGAAAAAAAAAACGTATTATCATAAGGAATACTATAAAAAGGAAGAGAAAAATTTCTTTTAAAATTCCTTTTTTTTTTTTTAATTATTAATCATAAAGAGGAAAAAAAAAAAAAAAGAAGAAGAGGGAGGAAGAAACTACTGCTACTACTACAAAAAGACCAGGAGGAGAGCTTGGTCACATGATCTTTCAAAGTCATGTTGTGACCTGCCTTTCCTGCAATTACAGGAGTTCTCTCTGCAATGTTATGAAAATACAACTTTGTAACACTCCACAGGTGCTACACCTTGACCTGCATTTTATGAATGAGCTATAAAAATACAGACCGCAGTGTGGAGTAATTTTTTTTCTGGTGTATAGTGGAGAGCAGATAGCAGTATCTCTGCTGTAAATATCTCACACGGTCTTACTAAATAAAGGCAAAAGAAAATGTCCTACAAGGCAATAACCATCACCAACAATCAGTAGCCTGACACATTGTCTGCTATAAATTGAAATCTGAGCAACTGATTGTTGTGATTTGAGTTTCTCAAATTTTCTTTGCTCATCTTTGCTTTTTTCACAATCTTATTCATTAGACCTTAGAGAGACATTCTCACCTTGTCCATGCAGATAAAAAAGACATAGCTCAGCAAAATGCATCCTGTAATGTTCTTCAACTCACCTTACTAGTGCTCCCTTTCAGCACCTTGCTACTTGCTATCTATGTCTAAGGCAACCTTTCTTAAAAAAAATTTTTTTTTAACTTGGAGGAATCCTTGAAATACATTTATGGTCTCAGGGAACCCCTGCTAATAATTACTATATCTACAGTTCACAGTAAGAAAAAATAATGGTAAGAAAACAATGCGCCTTACATTTGTGGTCATTGGGAAGCATACCCCCATTATAGATAAATAACAAGATCATTGTTGGTGGTTACTTATCTGAGAGTCAGAAACTGATCATTGCGCAAGGAAGCCCTAGCAATCTCTTGAGGAAGTCTAGGGTTCCAGTGAACCCTGGTTAGGAAAGGCTGGTCTAGGAAAACATCCAATTTCATTGCTGGCTTCAAAGGAGCAAGGAGCTGCAAGTGGGCACAGGTAAGGGGAGTATGAGTTGTATTGGGAATGTCCTCTGAAGACACTTGTCTTGTGCTGAATGCTCAAGGTGACAGCTTCTATTTAAAGTGTGTCCCTGTGATTAGTCGTGAAAAGGTTACATACCAGATCCTACTACGAAATCCCCAAATCCGATGGTGCTCAGTGAAATGAAGGCATAATACACTCCTTCCCCATACGTCCAACACTCAGTGTTTATAAATACCAGGGGTGGAATTCCAAGAAATACGATAATTCCCATCACAAGGAAAAATATGATTGTCACGACCTTTGCCATTCTCTATGAGGAAAAAAAAGTGCGATAATTATGTTCATTATTAGATTTTATTACTCCGAGGTGCCTGCCATCATCCTCGGCGACTTTAACATCCCAGTCAATGCTCACACCCCTGACACCTCTCAACCTAACTTCCTCTTTTAACCTAACACAATGGTCACAATCCACCACCCACTGCAATGGCAACACCCTTGATCTTGTATTCACTTACCTATGCACTCCCTGTAACCTCTCTAACACCCCTTTTCCTCTCTCTGATCACAGCTTTATCAGCTTCACACTCTCCCTGCCTCCTACCTTCCATGCCTCCAACATGCAAACCGTTACCTGTAGAAACCTCCACCACCTCAGCTCTGACCTTCTTCACTCTGTTACTGAGCGCCTCTATGATAAAATTGCACCCCTGTCCTGCCCAGAGCTGGCCACATCCTACAACAACAACTATCTATGATCCTCCCTGGACGCTCTTGCTCCTCTTTCTACACGCAGAACCAGGCTTCGCCTGTCTCAACCCTGGCAAACAGATGACACCAGAAGTCTCAAGAGATGCAGCCGCACTGTTGAGCAAGCATTGCATCAAACTAAATCCCTGAAAGACTTTACCCTCTACAAATCCACTCTTCTTAAATACAACTCCAGCCTCCACACTGCTAAGCAAACCTACTATAACACTCTCATCAAGACCCTCTCATCCAATCCTTGTCAACTCATCTCTACCCTTAATTCTTTACTCCACCCCCCGCTGCCTCAACCCACCAACTTACTTACTGCACAGGAGATTGCCAGTCACTTCAAGAAGATTGACACAATTCATGATGAGATCTCCAGTGTCAAGCTTCCTCCTCTAACCAACATACCAGGCCCAGCACCAAACTCAACACTCTCCTCCTTCGACCCTGTTACCTCCAAGGAAGTTAACGATCTCCTTTCCAAGGCCCACTTCACCACCTGTCCCCTGGATCCTGTCCCCTCACGACTGTTGCAGCCTCCTTCCTGCTCCATCCTAAACTCTCTAATCCACATCACTACCTTAAACTCAATCTTTCAAAACCTGAGCTTGTAATATTTCCTTCTCCCCGATCCCCCACTCATGACTTTACCATTAAGATCAATAGCACAACCATTGGTCCTTCCCCTCATGTCAGGGTGCTAGGCGTAATCCTAGACTCTGACCTCTCCTTTGGGCCCCACATCCACTCACTGGCTAAATCCTGCCGCCTCAACCTCCGGAACATTTCCAAAATCCACCCCTTCCTGACCAATGACACCACAAAACAACTTATCCACGCCTTGGTTATATCCCGCCTCAATTACTGCAACTCCCTTCTCACTGGTCTACCATTACACAGGCTATCCCCCCTTCAGTCTATTATGAATGCTGCTGATAGACTCATACACCTTACCAACCGATCAGCGACTGCTGCCCCTCTCTGCCAATCCCTTCACTAGATTCCAATAACCCAACGTATAAAATTCAAAATACTAACCACAGCTTACAAAGCCATCCGCAACAATGCCACTAGCTACATCACCGACCTCATCCACAGATATCGGTCAAATCGCCCACTCCGCTCCTCCCATGATATCTTCCTCTCTAGCTCCCTCATCACCTCCTCCCGCGCTCGCCTCCAGGACTTCTCGAGAGCCTCTCCCATCCTCTGGAACTCCCTACCACAGCATGTCCGGTCAGCCCCCACCCTGTCTGCCTTTAGGCGATCTTTGAAAACGCACTTCAGGGAAGCCTACCCCACCTCCACCTAAGAACTGTACTTTAACCACCTCCACCAGATCATCCCCCACAGCTATGCCCATACATTACAACAAATACACAATCTAGAGTAAAACACATACAGCACAGCCCCCCAGAAAAAAAAAATAAGGAAAAGAAAAAAAAAAAAAAATCAGTTAAAGTGGAAGTTCACTCCAAATCTAACCAAGGCTAAACCTACTGTCACCCTGATTCTAAACCTAGTCTATATGACCCTGTAAAGAAAAGATCTGTATGCTTACCTGTTCTGCCGACAATGGCTACAAATGCCTGGGAGATTATGTCACCAATAGGCTTACTATGGGGCATCCATTGTTGGTTGCCCCTCCTCTACATTGCCACCAATGACAGCTGATCATGGGACTGGACCGAAGCTTCAGAATAGGTACTTGCACAGATCTTTTCTTAGAATAGGTTTACAATGGGGGTGGGAGTAGGTTTAACCTTAGTTAAAGTTTGACTGAACTTCCACGTTAACATAATAGCTGCCACCAATCCCACTGCTTATACTCCCTTCTCTTCACATCACTTCTCCATTTGCCCAAAAGAAACTTGTGAAATGCTCACAACACACAATATTTCAATCTAGATGCCCAAGGGTGTCCTGGGGGTTTTAGAACTCTAGTAGCACTTCTGCTCTTCAGTAAATGGAGCAATTACGGAGTTTTTATAACATTTGTTCCTATTTAACCCCCCTATAGTTTACCCTAACCAACTATAATCAACTCCGACTCCTTCTCTAACTTAATTTCCTGATTTTTTTTTTTTTCCATTCTTCCAATTACTAATATTTAAATAATATTTTTTTTTTTTTTTTTTTAGCGTCTCATTAAAAAGTGCAATACATTGTTTTAACTTAACACAAAGTAGAAAAAAAAAAAAAAGTGTTTTTTTTTGTTCTGTTACTTTGTAAATGGATTGCTTAAAAATTTAAATAATTTTTGCAAGACAATATCACCTACATTAGCCTTGTTTGTATCAAATATATGTATCACTTTGCTTTCTAATAGAATGATATGTTATTGCTGAATTAACAAGTCAGCAGCCGAAATGTAAACATTGCTTATAACCCGAAAGTTCTGTGACACAACAGTTGAAAAAAAAAAATATATATATTATGATTATTATTAATAATAATAATAATAATAATAATAATAATAATAATATTCCACATCTCTTGGATAGTGTTGCTGCCTTTTTAATCATTAGAGTATTGGAAGATGAAATACAGGCAGAAAAGAGAACTCACCTTTTTCATTCCTTTTTTGACCAAACACTTTCCAAATTGTTTACACCAGAGGGAGAGATTTTTACCAACTTGACTGAGAACAATGATATTAAAGGGGATTCCAAATAGTGCATAGACCACACAGAACATCTGTCCACCTGCCGTTCTGGGGGCAATTGTTCCATAGCCTGAAGGAAATAAGAAATAGAAGTATATATTTCAAAATAAAAAACTTAAAGTGTTTCTAAACCGACAACAGTGAAATCAGTCTGTATATGCAGTAAAGCATGATTGTTATACTCACTGTGGAACCTAAGGGGTTAATCCTCTGCATTGTATAAAAAGGCTGTTTGATAATGTCTTCTCTTATCCTACCTTTCTTCTACTGTCCCCAATCATCTGTTGATAGTACAGAGCTCTAGGAGTCACTCTGTACATGCTCAGTTTAGTGTTTATTTCTAGAGGGTTTTTTTTTTCTTTGGGAGGGTGCATGTGATCAGCAGAGGGCCAACCAGCACTGTCCAGACCAGGGGCGGACTGATCATTCAAACACTGCCCGAGGGCCCGGGGTCAGTAGGGGGCCCCATGAAATGCCCCTGGTACCTTTTATAGGTTTTTTTGGGTGTGCTTTGAGTGTGGTCAAGGACACAGGGGCCCCATGATCCCCTATTGCCCGGGGGCCCCATGAGTTGTCAGTCCGCCTCTGGTCCAGACAGAGGTTCAGGGGTTATGCAGCCTCATAGGACAGTCAGAGCAGAATGAAAACTCCTTCTACAAGATTATGCAGTGCTTTGCTGGACACTGATAGAAGTCACAAGACTGCTGCATACTGCTGATGAGAAAAGGTATTTAGCAGTTTATATTTACTAAAGTAATTGCAATTCCATGTAGTGTGTTGTGGGAGACCAGATATAGTGAATGCAGGGTGTTGGGTTTAGTAACACTTCAACAAAACAAGAGAAAAAAAAAAAAAACAAAAACACTGAAATGTAACTTGAACTTGTGGCCCATAGTAACTATTTAGGATTCCTATTTTCCTCCCTGCAACACCAAATTTAATCCTCCCCGTAACCTTAAAGAGGAGCTCCAGTCACCATAATTAGCTTTTTTCCTAAAAGCACCTCCATGATTGGCACAGGTTGCACATTACTATTTGGATACTATCCCAACTGTAACTGTGTTGTTTTTTTTAAATCAGTAAAAAAATTACCTGATCTCGGAAACAGGCAGGGGTCTGCACTCAAGTCTATTTCTGGCAGGAGGTGCGGCTGGTTACCCAGCATGCACCTCCTGATCTTGGGCCTGCACAGTAATGACACTTCGTAGCACATTTTGTTGATTGCTGGTCGTCATAGCAATGGCGGCAGTGGCAGAGGTTCTCTTTTGTTTATAGCAACCTGTCAATCAAAAGAGAATCAGGAGATTCCCTTTGACTTCTGGGATAGATAACACTGATATCCCAGGAGTCCAAGGGAATCGCTTGATGACGACATCACCTAGGCGGCCAGGACTGGAAGTACAGCTGACACATTTAAAGTAAAGGTATTCAAAAAAGAAAAAAAAAAAAATGAATATCCATTTAGGACTGCACTGTGGATGGAAGCAACTTGCAAAAATAGGTGGAACTCCACTTTAATCTTACGCCTCCCTGTAAACCCAACATCACCCCTAAAACTATCCTCTCCTTAACCCCAAAACTAATCCTTCCTGTAACCGTAATCCAAATCTTCCCTGTAACTAACATTAATCCTCCCTGTAACCCCAACACTAATCCTAATCCCATGGACAGTTGGGGGGTGATCGGTGTGGTGCGGGGGGGAGGGGGGAAGCAATCACAAGAACCAAGCTCCCTGTATGGCTCTCCATGAAGCAGTGGAAAGCCACTCCTCCTCTCCCTCCCACAGCTTTCAGTTGCTTCATGGACAGCCATAGAGGGAGATTGATTCTTGGTTCTTATAACTGCCCCCTACTGCCATACCGATCACCCCTGACTGTCCATGGGATCTCTCCCTGCTTCCTAGGCCTCCCTGTGTGCTCCCCTGGCCCCCCTCATCACTGATGGCTTCCCTCCTTTCCTCTGCTACCAGCTGGTACAGGGAATGTGTCAGGATGGAGAGAGGAGAAATGGCTCCTTCCCTTTATGAATGACCAGAGTGAGTGATTGGTACTGATCACTCACTCTGTTCATTCATAACTGAAACATAGGAAAGTGTGTTTACTATGCTTCAGTTTATGAATGAACAAGAGACTGTCTCCTTTTCATTTATCTGCAGTGCAGATTGGCTACAGAGATAGGGAATATTATGTCCTCAGTCCCTTTCTCTTGCTCTCAAAAGTGAGACTTCAAGGGGTCTGTTTAGACCCCTGGTATCTCACCAATGACCCCCAGCATGGTTGGTAAGAAAATTATAAAAATAAAAAATGTAAAAATAGTAAAAAATTTAATTAAAAAAAAAAAAAAAAAAAAAAAAAAACTGATGCGGTCACTGCTCTATTGACACCATCCACACTGCCCTTCAGACACCATCCGCCACATTGTCACCCCCCCCCCCAAAAAAAGAAAAACAGTAAAAAATAAATGCAACAAATTAAAATTTAAAAAAAATTGCTACAAATAATTTAAAAAAATAAAATTGTAAACAATATTAAAAAATACAATGAAAATAATAAAAAAAAACAACAAAAAAAAAACTGACCATCCACCGCCCTACCAACATCTAGTAACCCCCCCCCCCCCCCCCCAAAAAAAAAGCATTGTGAAAGAAAAAAAAAAAAAAAAAGAAAACTGAATAAAAATATAGATTGCAACAACAAAAGATGTAAAAATCAAATAAATGTAAAACAAATTAAGGGCGGCTCATGTACACGAGTTCTCTTGTGCATACAGTGTGAATGATCAGTTTGTGCCACTGGAGTTGCCTGTTACTCTATTGGGAAGCAGAGGCTGAATGAAGACAGCTGTTGGTCCTAATATCACAGCTATGCAGATGCGGGTGAGTGGCTTCGAATGCATGCTGTGTATATGTGCATCCGCATGTCTGTCAATTAGGACCTGTGGCTGTGCTCATACAGTTGCTGCTTCCCCAGAGCATAAGCTCCCTGTACACAGCTCCAACTACATACAGAAAAAAACATCAGGTTCCAACTGTACAGGCCACAGCACCCATGTGCATGAGCCCCAAAACATCATACACACACACACACACACACACACACACACACACACACCTTTATTCATTACCTCAATATGGTTTTAATCTTTTAGATTTATAAAAAAGTAAAATACCTTGCAACTGACTGCATTAAGCTGCAAGCAAGCATACGTGTAGGATAACACACCTCTGATCATAGTATCAAAATCATGTTGCGCAAAACAGATACATTTATTAAAATGTACAAAAAAAAACATCTTAACAACAATACTAAAAACAATAAATGAGGAAAAAAAAGTCCAAAGTGCATCATCAATCTTCAAAAGTAGACTTCGGAATAATCTATACACTAGCAAAGATAACAGTCAAACACCAGTGAAGATAAATCCTTATAAATCAGGTAAGAATCTCTGTGGCTTTAAATCATCTCCCTTTGCTCTGTCCAATCAGCACGCTTATGAGCTTGCCAGAATGTGTGTGAATCTAACTTTTTCTTTTTTTCTTAACAAAAAGTCAAAGCACACTGGTATATTCAGTATATGGTCACCCAGCCACAGCAGCAGATGAAGATTCAACCGCCACCCACCACATGCACCTCACTTATCCAATGCACTGGGAAGGCAGGAAGAAAGAGCTCCAGGCTTGCATAGTGTAAAATCCTCAGTACAACTATTAGGGTTGCAAATACAGGCGTACCTCGGTTTACAAATTTAATGCATTCTGCGGGACATTTTGTATTGTGAAAAATGCATAAACCGAAACACGGTTTCCCATAGGAATGCATTGAGAACCAATTAATCCGTTCCGGAGGTCAGAAAAAAGTTTTAAAAAAAGTCTTTTATCTGTTGAAAACTCTTTAGAAAGTGCACTTTAAAGGCATAAATACTGTACAGGGACATGATTAAAACAAATCTGTAAAATGTATTGAAAACCAATTAATCTGTTACGGAGGTCAGAAAAAAGTAAAAAAGTCTTCTGTTCAAAATTCTTTATATAGTGCACTTTAAAAGCATGGGGCCAGCGCTATAAACGCTTTGTATTGTGAAAAAAATTCATAAACCGAGGCATTATTTTCAATGGATTTTCATTCATAAACAAAAAATTATGTTAACCGAGGCATTCATAAACCAAGGTACGTCTGTACTTACAAACTCATGAGAAATAATTGGCATTCAATGAACTAGGATTCCTGCAATTACTATCGTGTTTGGGCATTCGTGGTGAGCAAATTGGCCTCATTCAGATCTATGCTTTAGAGACTTCATTTTATATTTGTTATACTCGTGGGGTTCTTCTTTAAAGATTATTTTCTTCAGCTGCGTTCCCATGAAAAAAACTGCAGAGAAGTTGCTTATGTGTCTGAACTCCAGAATGTGTAAAGCCACAGTTCCTCCTGAAAAGAAGCTCATTTTGCTGATGAAACGCCCTCCAATGGACTGTTTAAAAACGGTTTCATAAGGTTTCAAAGAGAAGAGATCTTCTGCTTTCAAGACCAGGAAGTTCCCTGCCCATGGGTGGGCTCGATCAACAATCCGCCCACCGGAAAGCACCTTGGATAACTGGTAATGGACTAATAGTTGTCCAGGAATGGACAAAAAAGGGGGTTAATGAGCAAGTTGACCTCACACAGAGCTATGCTTTAGAGACATTATTTGATATGTGTTACACCCGTAGGGTGGTTCTTTAACCAATTCAATACCGTGCAATTTTACACCTTCCTGCCCAGGCCATTTTTCAGGTTTCAGCGCTCTCACACTTTGAATGACAATTGCACGGTCATACAACATTGTACCCAAACTAAAATTTTATCATTTTCTTCACACAACTAGAGCTTTCTTTTGGTGGTATTTAATCACCGCTGGAGTTTTTATTTTTTGCTAAATTAACAAAAAAGCCCTAAAAATTAAAAAAACAAAAACAAAAAACACTTTTTTCTTTGTTTGTTATAAAAGTTTGCAAATAAATAATTGTCTTCATAAATTTAGGCAGAGATGTATTCTACTACATGCCTTTGGTGAAAATAACCCAAATTAGGA